GGTCATGCCTGTATCTATCTATTCCTGCCATAAATTTAGTCTAGTTTCAAATATTGGTTAGCAATAAAATTATAAGAGATTAGGTTGGTCCATGATTGGTGTAAGACTTTAATTGGACTTCCCTAGCGTATTTATGGGCTAATTGTTGCTCATGACCAAAAATTAATAAACATTCACAAGCTAGCCAACTTTTTCCATAATTAATTTACTTCATTTCCTCTATAACAATATACATACCTCATGACCTTACAATAATGTCAAAATTAGTAATTAAATAATAGTCGAACACCGTAGCTTGATTTAGGTGCGATTAATAATAAATCATCGTAACTATGGGTACGGTTCTTGTGGCATAGCCATGATACGTAAACCCCAATTCAAGTGCGCGTTTCACGCGACTTGACCATAACTTCAAATAATAATAAAAGTAAACATATTATAAATCGCGGGTGCGTTTCACGTGGCGCGATTTGCAATGTGTACCAAAACGACAAGTGTGCAACATCGCGACTTGTTCAAATAAATTCCATAAATATTAAAAAGCGGTAAAAGATAAAAATATACAATAAGTTTAAAACATGTAATAAATCAGATAACTATGCCAAATATTAATTGTTAAGTGACCGTGCTAAAATCACGGAACTCGGGAGTGCCTCACACCTTCTCCTAGGTTAACAGAATTCCTTACCCGATCTTCTGTGTTCGCGGACCAAAAATAAGAGTCAAATTTCCTCGATTTGGGATTCTAAAATAAATCGGTGACTTGGGACACCATAAATTATTCCAAGTGGCGACTCTGAATTAAATAAATAATCTCATTTCGATTAATGTCACTTTAATTGAAAAAACTCCCCTATCCCCTATCCCCTCGGGAAAAAGGAGGTGTGACATTATATTTTGATGATCTAACAAACCTAATGTTAAGAACCAGATGGGGAACGTGCTCCACATCCTGAAAGTGCTCAAGATCAACAAGTCTCAAGTCTGGGACATGTTCCAACACTCAGAGTCAAAGAAACAACAGAGGGAACAGATAGACATCAGTTCCCTTGCTGACTGTACCAGTCAACTCCCCACAGCTGTAAAGTGGTTGTAACTGTGCCTCAGCACACACGCAACAGTTCATACAATGCACTAGTCATTTTATGGGGAATGCCCTTATACCAAACATGCTTACATCATTCGAGTGATGTTACTTATGTAATATTAACATGAAGCAAAGGCAAAACATCACACTTGCACATTCCAGAATTCATCAAGCTCCCTCTCAAGTGTGTTGCTAATCTGCAAGTGACACTCAAGGCGTCAAGAACAAAGAATAACATAACGAAGGACATGTTTCCTGCATCGAGTCATTATGTGTCCTTAGTTGTGTTGTACCTTTGTTAAAGTGATTTACTTGTAATTCCTACTTCGTTTAGTTAGAAGCATTGTGTAGGAAACCTTTTGTAAAACCACAAACCTTGTGTTTGTGTCTTGGCTAGAGTTAGTCGAGTTGTAAGCTTTGTAATAGAGTTATTACAAGTTAGTGAGGGATTAAAAGGTTAATTCCTATATCACAATAGTTTGTAATCTGAAGTTTGCTCAATAGTGAAGTTAAAATCCTACGAGTGTAGGTCGTGATTTTTAATCCCGTGAGTTGGGAGTTTTTTCACGTAAAATTCTATTGTGTTAATTATTAACTATTTTGTGTGTGTTTTATGGGAATTAATAGAGAACCTGGTTCTCTATATAGTTTGGTGGACCCTTAGTTTCTATAAAAATATTTGCATATATACTACTCTTTTCAAACCCCACTATGTGGGATTACACTGAATTTGTTGTTAGTTGTTGTTGGTCCGACTAGTACTATTTAATTTGGTAAAGAAAAATTCACCTGCTTGTGTTTTCAAAGTCTTCGTCATTTCCAGTTTCAAAATGCCTGTTGACCCATGCATGGCTCATCATTATTCATTCATATATCCAGCTCATTCCCATTTATTGACTTTTTCTCTGTTTCTTTTCCCCCACTACTACGTCCACTTCAAATTTCAAACTTTTTAACTCTGTAACAATTTATTTAACTGGCTACCACACCATATGGTACCCCTTGTGGGTAGGAAAATATTCTACTGATTTGCCTTTTCCATTCATTTCAAGTTTTCAACCCAAGCTTACTTCTTCTTTACACTACTACCATCTAATGTTCTAATTGCACTTGAGTAATTCTTCTTTGACAAATTTTCGCTTCTGATTTATGAACATAAAGCTTATTATGTGAAACCAATCTCATTCATATGCTATTTTCTCATGCCAAATTTCTACTTATACAATACTTCTGTTAATTAATATCTATATATTGGCACGTTATAACTAAAAGAGGTTAACTGTCCATATATCATCACTATAACATAAAGTTCTCTATTAGGTTGACAACAAACATGGTCGATCCTCCAGAATAATCAACTTTTCACCGCATTAATTGCTTATTTCTTAATATCGGCAGCAATTATGTTTCAATCTCACATTAATTGGGTTGACTCTCTGTTCCATTTAGACGGACTTGATATATACTTTTTGAAAGTTAAAAATGTTAAACACATAAACTAAACCGAGTAGCTACTGATATGACTCTTTCATAACGAACGCAGAAATAGTCTACTCGACAAAGAGATAACGTGTGGAGTGAAAATGGCAAATTATGGATTTGTCATAATTAAAAGCATATAATTCTGTTCCATTTAGACTGACTTGATATATATTATATACTTTATGAAAGTTAGAAATGTTAAAACACATTAGCTAAATCGAGTAGCTACTGATTTGACTCTTTTGCAACAAACACAAAAATAGTCCACTCGACAAAGACATAACGTGTGGAGTTAAAGTAGACCTATTAAATGGGTCGATCCAATCCAAACCCGAACCCATTGATTCTTGGCCCGTGGATCCTTAACCGGGCCAGGCCGGTTCACTTTCTTAAAGGGACCCGTCCGGATTTGACCCATTAATCAAAACCTCCAATTTAAGTAAAAAAAACTAATACATAATAAAAATTTCAAACTTGTATACATATATACAAACTTGAAATTACTACATGTTCTTGAAGCCAATTACAATAAAAATGAAAGAAAAATCATACTTTATTAACATTAAAACTTGAGAAACTTATGGAATTCAACTATTTTTATAACTAATAGTCTGATACATAAGAAAAATAATATTCTAATATACTCTAATTCTATACTTTTAAAACTCTAATATACTCTATATTTTTTTAAAATAATTCTTACAAAGCTGGTCCGAGCGGATTGACCCGTGGGTCAGCTACTGGTTCATGTCTGGTCCGGTTTAGTGGGTTAAAATATTATAGCCCGGCCCAGGCCCCTTAAATTAATGGATTGGTCAGGTTAGGATTTCGTGGGTCATGGGCCGGTTAAAGGGTCAATTTTAATGGGTTATATGGTCCGGTTCGTGGGTCGACCCGGCCCATTGACAGGTCTAAGTTAAATTATATATATACGCGCTTTGCCCAAAGCCTTAAAGTCTTCCTGGAATAGTACCTGACCATTTTAACCCTGTTACACTAACATACGTGTTCAACTTCTAAATATTTACGGTATAAATGTCTTTTACATTATCAAATGATCACTAAAAGATTATTATATGTAATTTTCTATGATAATGAAACTAGTAACATATAAAATAAGGTAGCCAATTTGCTATAACATATTAAATTATATTGAGATATTAATATTTTTTATTCTATCAGTTCATATATATATATATTCACCCTTTGTCCGAGTTATTTTTTAATTTGTCAAAAAAAAAATGATACATTTTTTTGAAAACTATTTAATTTTGGATCCTCAAAATAATATTTTTATTTTGAATATATTTGGTTTATAGTTTAATTTTTTTTTTAAATTGCTAAACTCTGTGCGGTCAAACACGAGAAAGGAAAAACATATGTAGTAACTAGTTAACAATAAAGCACAATCCTATGGGAGTTCAACTATAAAAGCACCAACATAAAGAACCTCAATTTCTCTCTTTCATTTTCCCTTCTAAAATCACCAACTTTCTTCTCTCTTCCTTCTTTTTCATCCATTTCTCTTTCTCCTGCTTTATAGATCTTTAATTATTCACTTCCTCTTTCTCATAAATCATGGCATCTTCTTGCCATATACCACCACATGATCAAAACAACAACCAGTTACACAATGTGAATAACATCTCATCTTGTTCTTCTCCATCTAATAATATTAGTAGTAATTTAGACTCCAATTTTACCACTTTTGTCCAAGCTGACCCCTCCAACTTCCGTTCTGTAGTCCAAAAACTCACCGGTGCAGCATCAGCTTCCCGTCATCCCGTCGTCGGAAAATCCAACTCTGGCGAGAAAGGTCCTCGGCGTTCGACTTTCAAGTTACACGAAAGAAGGCATAGTGAAAGAAAGCTTGAAAATATTCTCACTGGTAAAATTTTGTCACCTCCTTTTAATAGGCAAATGGTACTTATGGCTTCTCCAGTGTCACCTCTGGAAATGCTGACACGTGGAAGTCCGAAATCACCAATGGAGGAATTAGAAGAAAGAGCTATTGCTGAGAAAGGATTTTATTTACATCCAAGTCCACTTAGTACCCCTAGAGGCATTGAGCCACCTGAACTCTTGCCTTTGTTTCCACTTCAGTCTCCTACAGCTAAACATCATTCTTCTTCTTAATTACGTAATTAAATTGATGCCTGTCTTAGCTTGACTCTTGTTTCAACATTAGATATAGCCAAATTAATATTTAATCTTGTTGTTTATTTTGATGTTGTAGTGCTTGTTATGTCTCCAAAAATATTTAAAGATATGCTTAGATGATACCGTACGCTTGTACTTTTTTTTCTTCCTCTTTTTTGTTTTTCCATTAGTCTTGCACTCTTTTTTAACGAGGTAGTTAATGTGTGCCTAAAGTTTTATCCTTGCGCCTAAAAAGTAGTAATTTTTCCCTTGTCATAATATTTCTTATTTAAATTTTAGGGTTAAGGTGTGGGTATTGACATTGGCAGAGGCGGATCTATATGGCTAGGGTGTATTCAATTGCCTCTATCGTCTTCGACATATACCTTCTGTTAGTATTCTGCATTCAAAAAATAAATTTTGTGATCTGTAAACAAACTAGAAATGAAAATGCAGAAGAAACATAAATATAAATCCAGCGAGGTTAATTCGTTCTATCCTTGGAAAATAGTAATATAGTAAATTTTGAATTTTGAAATTAACTATATTTTTAAAGATTTCAAAATTCTGAACTTATTAAGTTTAAATCTTGAATCTAGACTCCGAAGATCGGGAAGCGGATGTTTGGAGGTTGGTGTCCATTCATTTCTTCTAACGTGCTAGCTATTCTTTATTGTATTATTGGCTAAACATTTGAAGAAAGTTCACTGGAGCAATGATTAGTTCTTTAATTTGCTTGTAACGTTTGTAGAACTTTAGGATTAGGAAAAACATTAATGAAACTAGTACTACACTTATTGAATGTTTCATCAAGCTGCAATTATAGTATTTAGGTAATTGGAGTTGTCGATCTTTCAATTCTCTTAATGTGCTAGCTATTCTTTTATAGTATGTATTATTGGCTAGATATTGAGCTGCAAATATATCGAAAACGAATCTTTATCTTCTTAAGGTAATGGTATGGTCGACATATACACTATCTTTCTCAGACTTCACCTGTAGGATTAAATTAGGATTATTGTTATTATTATTATTATTATTATTATTATTATTATTATTATTTTATATGTATTATTATTGTTGTTGTTATTGTTATTATTATTGTTATTGTTGTATTAGACAGGTACATTTGAAGAAAGTTCACTAACCAATGATTAGTTTTGTTTGTTGTAATTAGGGTTAGTAAAACAAGAAACTTTTCAAACTAATGCTACGTACCGTAATTGACTGTTTGACCAAACTACATATTTTGGTATATAATTAGAGCCAGTTTTGCTCATAATTCAAATTAACCAAATAGAAAAAAATAAAAAAAACTCAAGCCGAAGTAATGTAAGTTTAGATCTCTTAGAGGAATATAAGGACAATTGGAAGTTAATTCCTGTATAAGCTTTCTTGTCCTTTTTAACGTATAGTTTTCTTTCTTTGAACAAGTCTTTGCACCTCTTTAAGCAATTTCAATTATGGTTCGTTCAAACTTACTTAGTATATCTTTGCTTAAGAAGTCAAGTCAAACTAAGGTATAAATCAAGATCATTGTTTGAACTGTTAAAACATGATTTAATGTTGCATTTGGATAGTATTTGTTGGGGAACGGTTAATTAGTCATTGAAAACGAATGCTTTTGGACAATTAGTCCTCATATCACACTAGCATCTCCATTTTTTTCCTTCCTTTTTATAGGAGAGGTAATAAAATAAACAAATTGAACGACCGTTGCAGGCCAGTCCTACGTATTTAGAAGTTGGAAATGAATGTATAACAATTTATGCAACACTAGAGCAAGGGCAAATTTAAGCCAATGTCTGTCAAATTAATTCTCGGGCCAACGGATATAATATGTCTATGGTGTATTCAATGAACTGCTCCATAAAACTTCATGAATTTATTGCAAAATCTCTTCCATAAATTTGGGTCAAAGTTTTCATTAGAATTTCAAATTCAAAATCGAGGAATGGATAGAGTGGTCCAAATCCAGTATGTTGCTTACCGATTCAAATTACGTACTTGTCAAAGTTGTTCAATAAATAGCCTCCCTATCTGCGAGAAATTTAAATTTGGTACACCATAGCATTAGATTAGTCAATAGTTCCTACAGTAGTACAAGTATAGAAATGATATTACTTTCAGCTATACTATACTATTGATCGATGTTTGTTAAACTAATACATTTTGTAGTCTTTAGGTCACTTAGGAAGAAGGAGAAGCAAAAAGATTGAAGATTTTTTTATGAGATTTGAATTATGATGAATGGAATGAATCTCACATCGGACCAGGATGAGATCCTGGTCTCCTTATAAGGCTTGCGCAATTCTTCTCCCTTCGAACTAGCTTTTGGGATGTGAGTTAGGCTCAAGGTTTAATTTGACAAACTCCATATATATCAAGTTGTAAGGAGAAATTGTAACTTTAATACCCCCTAGGTTCCGATCCCTAACCTAAAAGGTTCTATTATCACCAATTGCTCTCTGTAACCTAGTGATATCGGTGATGTCTCACATACAATAAAAAGTAAATTCAATTCTTATTATCGCTTTTTCCTTACTCGAGATCATCATATGATGCAGCTTCCGTTATACCAACGAAAGCTACATAAAAACGGTTAATATTCAAGAAAAGTCTAAAGATAAACATAATTCACAACATAACTTGCCTTGAATGGTCATTTTCTTTACTTAGCTAGTTTGTGAACATATGAGTATGAAGTGGAGAAATGTAGTAGTTTTTCAAAACGTGTCTTGCAAAATAGCGACGTTGCTGACTTTAGAAGGACGTTAAAAAGTAAGAATTTTTACCTCAGGGGAAGATTCTAAAAAGTCCAATTCACACATTACCATCTAAGTTAGATGACAAACTTAGTCTTACAAGAAAAGGACAATATGGTTCTTAAATTCCACATAGATTGTGACCGATATTTTTGTCATCCATTCAAAACCTTATCTGTGGCCTTTTGGTCCCTCACTTCTGCAACGCACATCTCACCATCTCCTCGACAAGGGTGGGGTAGGGGTTGAAAAAGAGAAGAAAATAACACTAGGAAAAAGAGTCAATTGAAAAGTGTATAGACTTGTTGAGAATTTGCATTGATTCTTGACAGTTCAAAATCAATCTTTACAACAATATCAAGTATATTGTATGATTTCAAGATCGTTATTCAATTTTCAGTTTATTGCTACAAAGAAAATGTATAATTAAGTAAGCTGGTAAATGTATAAAATTGTCATGCATGTATAACCAAGTGACAATTCACTTTACATATTCCACGTGCAGGACACTACTTATAGTTTGACCTAGTTCCAAATTACTAATGATGAAAGACATCTAGTGTTAGGTTGGGTCTGAAAAATATGAGTTTTTATCTTGATAGTGTTACCCCATAGATTGTAACGTGAATTGCGAAGTGGCAGCCTGTTTATGTTTATAAATTTGGTCCTATAAACAATAAGTTGTAAGTTGTATGATCATCCGTAAAATTAACCTATTATTTGTGATTAGACGTTGGTGAAAAGAATATTTATCGAGTAAAAGAAAGGTCACAAGTCATGAGTTGAGAGTATGGTTGAAAGACCAACAAGCTTCTTGACAAGTTGCAGCAGAATAAAAGGAATTTTTTGGCACAAATTTAGGTAGCTTTACGTGATGTCTACAACTTTGTCAAATCATATTGCTTTTCCGCGTCATTTTATGCAAGCATCATATCTCTTTGACTCTTTTTTCTTATACTAGTGTTAGCCCCTTTGATTAGAAGAGAGTGACTGGCCCATGTTTAATTTTAAATAAGGGTCAGTGGAATTCTGATGCTTAATCCAGCCTGAGGAATAATTCTACACGATAAAGCCACTGTTTATCAATACTTTCACATTACCTATTAGGGAGTTCGTTAAAATAAACATCTGGTTTATGTGCCATTTCTTAGGTATTCCTGGAAATGTGACATAAGTTTAGAAGGATATATTTAGGTGGTCTAGGTTTGTTATCATTCATAATCATACCATGAAATCTGCCAATTAACTTTTCATTGTATTAAAAAAGGAGTTTACTATGGACTTGATGATGTAAAAAATATTACCTCTTGATGTTAGACTAAAAATTCATGTTTTTGCATGTAATTTGCCTTGTATTATACCTAAATCTTGTTAACTTTGGTGTAAATATTTGTGACTCGAGCTTAATAATGGTGTTTATATGTGTAGGAGTCAATTTGAAGTGATTTGGCAAGCTTGCATGCAAAGTGAAGTAAAAATAAAAGAATTTGGAAGGAGTATGATTTTGGTGCCTAGGTTGGCGCCAGGCACCAACCAAAACGCCAATGGCAGAATAGCACATAAGTGGAAAATTTCGGTGTCCAGGTTGGCGCCAGGCGCCAAGCGAGACGGCTAAGGGCGTATTTCGTCCTAATTCGGCTAGGACTTAGTAGTTTCGACCCTACACGCCCCTAACATGTATAAAAGGGGTTCTAAATCTATTTCTCAAGAAGGAGACATTATTGGAGAGGAGATTCAACTCAAGGAGCCAAGAACACGCTAGGAGCAACGCATACAAGTCTTCTACGAGTTTTTCACTCCTGTCTTCTTATTTCCATTATTGGTTATGAATTCTAGTATTGTACTTTTGCATACTATTAAGAATAGCTAATTTGTTATCTAGGGTTTGGATGGAACCTTTTGTAGGATGAATTCTTGTTATATTTTTATATAATTGAGCCGTTAGATTTCGCTACTTGTTCAACTACGTGTTTGTTGCTGTTGATTGAATGACCATCAATTGATTGTGCCTATTTAGTGTATACTGCTCGAGAGAGAGTACGCATTTAGGTAGTTGTTGAACAATATCACTACTAACGTATGTGAGAGATCAATACGAAGGGTTTGAATGCGGGATTAGAGATAACGAAACCTTGGTGCGATCGTAGTGAGCGGTGAATTAGTGCCAGCTAGCGTAGTTCGAGAGAATACGTTTAGTAAATTGTAGTAGAATAAGGGGTGGCGCCGTTGCCG